GAGGAAGGGAGGGCACCGAGGCTGTGGGGCAGCACAGCAGGAAGAGGGATCCACAGAGGAGACAGGAGGAAGGGAGGGCACCAAGGCTGTGGGGCAGCACAGCAGGAAGAGGGATCCACAGAGGAGACAGGAGGAAGGGAGGGCACCGAGGCTGTGGGGCAGCACAGCAGGAAGAGGGATCCACAGAGGAGACAGGAGGAAGGGAGGGCACCGAGGCTGTAGGGCAGCACAGCAGGAAGAGGGATCCACAGAGGAGACAGGAGGGAGGGAGGGCAGCAGGTAAAATGCACTGAAGACAGCTGCTGGTTACTATAATGATAATCACACGTACAGAAACTTCCTGAGGACATTATCTATCAACCTTATGGAGGTTTGTGGTGCTTTTAAGGGAGGAAATATAAAATAGCACCATATGAAAAGTAAAAGCCTAAATTGTTTAATAATAATTCTTATAAAAGTCATTTTCCACTTCTGACAATAAATCAAATATTGTACCACCACCCGCACTCCTAGGACCCTGGAGAGTCAATCTAAGAATTAGAAACCCACCATCAGCAATGCAGCTTACAGAGTGGAAACAATGAACTCTGACCTAGCTCAAACACAGTATCGTTCTAACATTATTTGGTTAAAGAAAAAAAAACAAAACAAAAAAACCTCTACTTTATTCCTTGACTTCTTTCTTCCCCCTACCAGTATGGGGTACTAGCCTTGGTTTTACCCCTTATCCAAACTATACAACCCAACCCCCCAAAAACAGTAGTCTTGCCTCATACGTTAAACTCAGAGCGCTGAGGATGATATTCAGTATGCCCTGAGCATCCCAGAGACAAAGTATCTGCAGGATGCTGGCCAGAGGCAGACAGAACCACCACTCCAGAAGAATCGCACCCCTGCTCCCTTATAGCCTGTGTGCTGGGTGGGCTGTCTCCCGCTAATACTGTAAAGCAGAGAGACACCTTGAGTAAAATAGCTACTAAAAACCCCAAGCCACAGTGTTAAATGGTAGATTTTATCACAAAATCTTGATTAAGAATAATGTCCCGGCTACTGCCTCCGACCATGGCCTGACCCCCGGCAGCCACTGTCTCATGGATCTCTTTCAACTTGTAGTAGTGAAACTGGCCACCTGACCCTGCATCTATCTATCCCACTCTTCAGTTAACTCAGTTCTGAATCTAAACCTTCCTCCCCGCTCAGGGTCCAGCCCTGGTGAGAAGTCCCTGCCTGTTGCCCTGTCCCTGCCCCCTAGCTTCAACCTCAATGATGATCCTGCCAGGATAACTGAATCTCAACCATGGTCCAAGGACAGAGAGCTAGTCATAGTCAAGAGAGCACACTTGAAGATTAGTCCAGAAAGGAATAGGTTTGAATCTATCCTTACATGAAAAGTCCTTTTATTCATATCATTTCCAATAGAATACAAGGCTTAAAAATTTTTTTCAACTCTTTTCTTTGTTGAATAGTTCAAATAATATTCGATACAACTTAGTTCCAATATAGCAAGAGAAAAATAAACTCTAGGCTTTGTTTTAATAGAAATGTGTCTGTATGTGCAAAAGTTTTATTTACATATATAATTTATAGATGAAGAGGCATTTTAAAAATAAAAGAGATTACTTAGCAAATTAGCCATGTGCCAAAATTATAAAATATTTATTTAATCTAAGAGAATAAACCACTTGGAGACAAGTAAAAAAGCAAGTCAATACTATTGCAAAAATAATGGTAAATCATTCATATTTTTAAAAAATAGGTACTGAAGAGAATCACCATTCTTAGCTCCAGTGAAATCATTATAACATCTGAATGAATTTCTCCCAAAAATATTGCATATACTTCAGACTGGCTTTTTCCTAGCCTCCTTAGTGAAGTTTAACTATAATTCAACATGTCAGTAAAATACCTCCCCAGTGCTTTTCCACCACAGCACTTAGGTTACCTGCTACCATTTCTGCAGTTAAACCTGACTAATGGAGGTTATCCTAGCCAACATTACCAGAGATGAGATTTGACCTCCATGAATACATCTCATTCATTTCTGATCCTTACCCAAATGGCATAGAACTTGGAATGGAGTAGACACACTATAAGTGTTTGCTGAATGACAAATAAATTAGAAAAAGAAAGATAGAAAGGCATTCCAACATGTAACACCATATTAGACTTATTATATTAGTATACATTCTATCATTTTATTAGTAAGAAATTAGCAGGAAGCAAAAAGGCCCATACAACGCATTTTCAATGCATCCTTCCTTAGAGTAAACAAAACTCACCAGAAAGATTCAGAAAGAACAGCCAAAAGAAGTTAATCTCCCAAATTATGTTCCCCACCACCACCCCGCCATGAAAGCATGAGGACAAGCTTGTCTCAGCACTCCTTAGAAAGGTCATGCTCTTGTGTTGCTATTATGACAGGATGGTAAGTAAGAAAAGGAAAATGGCTTATTAGTCATTCCCCAAGAGGATGATTCTGGCATAAGAGGTGATGGCCTTACACTATAAGGAGAAAGTGAAAAGGGGCAGACATTAGAAATAATTCACTTTATATTCTGAACAATTCACTTTCATAGGGGCCATGCTAATAAGTCAAACAGACACCGGAACAATAAATCAGGCAATCATGATGCAAGAGAAGCTACATCCAAAATTATGGTTAAAAACTTACCACCTAGAAGGAAAATTTATTTTTAAAATGAATCCAGAGGAGGAAGATAAGAGAAACACATTTTCATGTGGTTAGTTCTTATGACAGCTAGTACATATTCAACAGACCTGTAACAGCATGCATTGTAAATAAGGATAAAAAAATTTAATTTATAAAACCTGAATAACAGACAATCCTGAGTATGTAGCACACATTTTTAAAAACAAAGCTGAAAACTAATAATCACTAAAAACATGATTTTTAAGATGATATAGAGATTTACTTGTATTTATAATTTTCTCCCTCTTATATGTAATTCTGCCACTATAACCAATTGTTAAATATGTATAATTGGCATAACTCAAGACAATATTAAACTGTTCATTTATATAAACTGTTTCTTATACTCTAGTTGCCAAAAAGAAGTGTGATGCTTCATTTAATCTCCTTTCAATTCCTCAAAAGTGGTCAAAGACAGAGCAAGAACAATCTGAGATCTGTGGTTCTGAACCTGTAGGCTACCGACACTGGGCGTCGACGGCTTGTTTGGACATCAAGCATGCTGAGTTATCTGAATAAATAATAAACCTCACACCTTTATTTACTGCTACATTTCAAATTATTGTGATTAACAACATACGTGTTTATTTGAAAGTATTATTAAAGTAGTTCTCAGCTTTTTAACAAGCCATTCAGTTTTTCATGGAAACAAATTCCCCAAAATCTCGCCACTTCCACAAAAGTTCTATGAGATCCTCAATCTTTAAATAAGAACTGAACTGTTACTGGAGTTTTTTTCATCATTACACATTTTCTCAGTCAATAGATGCTAAATGCACAACTATCTTACGTGGATGGGCCCTCAAAGCATCTGATGTGAAGAAGATTCCTCATGCTGGGTATCACTGGCTTAGATCAGTGTTAGATGTGGACAAGCACAATCAAAATTGTCTCCTTCAGCTCAAAGTCAAGTTGAGAAGTTGAGTGGGAGCAAAAGAAGGGGACAAAGTTACAACTGTTATCATAAGATGGGCAGAGAAGAAAGCAGCAGAAACTTGCTTCCCTGGTAACAGGACAACTGAGGTTAGGACAGTCCATTAATTGGTCAGCCCCATAACAAGCTGGATGAACACTAGATTCTGAAACTCATTTCAAGGCTCACACCATGGGAATCCCAGTACCTTCATTTCCAGAAGCCATATTATGGCCCTATTACCCAAGGATGTCCCCTGAAAATATCTACATGTTTTGTCAAAATAATCTTTGGACACACGTTACATATGTCTACAAGTCACTAAGGTATTCTGAATTCACATCTTTCGAACTGCAAAAGGAACTTCCCAGCTGAGTATTGTGACATTTGTGAAGATGGTGTTAAAACTATAATTCTATCACTACCACCTCTCTTCACTTTTCTGACAGTAGAAGCTTTTTTTCCCTTCAGTCCATCTTACTGGCCCCATACAGCTCCATTTTGCCTTTTTTAAAGAGGAGCACCATAGATTTGAATATGGGGATTTGTGGCCTTTTGGAACAGGAGAACAACTTTATATCTAACTTTCACTTCTTTTAATGTGATTTTTTAAATTGTAAGGTAAATCATATAGCAAATCAAGGGATGATGTAGACTCTTTAATTACAAGAAATCTGATTTTCTCTTCAAAATAAATGGACTGGGTACTATGAAATAATTTTTCTGCTATCATATATATTGCTCTATAAGCAACTAAAACATTCTCCTTTTCTCTAATATGAATAGTTTAAGTAAATGCTAAAATTCCATGAATTTCATGAATTCCATGAAAGATGAAAGCTTATCTAAAATTATAAATTTAAGAACTTCATCCTATATTTTAAACAGAAGATGACAAGGCAATTAGATTATCTTGATATTTCAACTGGGAAAAGACCAAGTGAGCTCCAGAGTGTAGAAAAGGCTGAGTCCGTAACACTCACTACTGTAAGACTGCAAACACAGTTGCTATTTTCAGATCTAACTTCCATCCTCCTTCCATCCTTGTACATCAGCCCTAACAGTGAACCAAAAAACAAACAAAATAAAAAACGAAAAGTAACAGCTCTGTCTCTGCCTCCCAGTGGAGAAAGAAGGTACAGGACACACACATCACAGATAAAACAATTCCAGACATGTAGACAATTACTCACTTAAAATCACTCTCTGTGTTAGCATGTAAAATAAGTTATTGCCTTCTCTAAAGATTTATCTTTACCCACCTGCCGTGTAGAGAGAGAGAGAAAAGGAGGCAGAGAATAAATGTGTGTGAGCACCAAAGCAAAGATAAGACCAAGATATTCTGGATTTCTGTAAGCTTCACACACCTACACTTACATGGCCGTGGAGATCTGTGTTGAGAAGCATCATCGCACAGGTGAGGCAATGGACCCCATCTAAGGAGAGAGAGAAGGATAAGGAAAGAAAGCATTAATTCACTATTTCCTGTTGGACTCCTTATTATCATTAAAATAGCATACATTAGAAACCTATGAAAACACAACCCTGCAGCAGGGCACAACTAATCATGCTCATTTGGGGAGACAGAAAATAGATAAGAGTAAATTATTATAAGGACCTCAATGTACAGAGTGGAAGTCTACTGGTGATAAAGTAAATTATTCCTAACTCTCTAAGGGACAATTTAATGGTACATATCTTAAGCTTTGAAATAGTGCCCTTTGACACAGCAAATCTATTTCTAGGGCTTCACACTAAAGAAAGAAAGATCTACACAAAATACAAGGATATCCAAAGAAACATTGTTTACAATGGGGAACAAGTAAATCCGACCTTCAGAAACACAATTCTGTCATGTTGAAGTCATTAAAAATGTTGTCCAAGTTTACATGTTGAAATAGATATTTCATAATAAATTACTATATGAAAAAGAGATTATATGCACTATGATTCCATTTAAATATAAATACATCCAAAAGAAAATATAATATTAAAAGAGATTATCATCTCTGGATAGTGAGATTATAATTTTTATTTATATTTTCTCAATTTTCTATAACACAAGATATGGAAATAAAAATAAATTATTTAATACTGTTAATCTTTTTACTTTCCAAGAGGAAAATGAAGTAGAAAAGAAGCAAACATTAAAGAAAACCAAGGTTTGTGCCTTCTACTGTTTACTGGGTATTAGTTCTCTGGCTGACAACATCTAGACAGGAACAGTTATCCTCTTTCCTCGCATCCTTTAAACGCATTCTTTAGGTTGACTGGTCCAGGATACCATGGATCAGACAAAAATAAAATACTGAAATAATCTATGAAGATTAAAAAATTAAATATTCAGAGGAAAAAGTTGCCCAAACAAGAAGGATCACCTCATACTTAAATGGAAACACGACTTTCTCTTCTTACTATATAAAGAAAAAGAAAAAGTACTAAGAGTTAAGCTTCTCATTTCCAAACCTCAATTCTCCTCCCTCATTCTCCTCCTGCAATTCTCAATCCAAGTATAGCAGACAACAGCAGTTGCAGATGCAGAAAAATCTTCTTAATCTATGCTACATGTACAGAAAGGCCTGTGCAATGACTGAATTCATGAATCAAAGACAGCTTATTTTTCAAAAGTATGCCTTTGAGTATAGTAGGTGACTTCTATTATTAATGTCTCTAAGTGGATGCTACTAAATGCCTATGTATGTTTATTCCAGTTCCAGTTTATTATCACAAATTCTAAACATATTTAAAACAAACTCCTGAAAGCATTTGTAAAATTCAGTAGCCAGCTCTCAAATAACCTTATCAACAGCCAACTGAGTGCACAAATCCATATTCCTTATTTCACACAGGAATGTCAACATCTTCTTAGATTTGAAGAAAATTCTAATAAGAACAACCCTCTTCTATCCCTTTCATTCTCTAGTCAGTGCTGACAGTGGTAAGAGACAGTGAATAAATGGTCTAAATATAGTCAAAGAAGTAATAAAGAAAGACAAGCTCCCATTTTACAGATAGGAATGTGACTTCAATAATCAGATAGTTAATACAGCTACAACCTGCAGGGCGGAGGCAGGCGGAACAATCACTTTAGTCAATATCAAATACACTTATCCCAGTTAATTGGCAATACTGAAGCTAAGAGAGAATTACTATTTCTATTACATCTCATCTCAGTGATTTATTCCAGAATTTGTAAGTTTATGTAAGCTCCTCCAATTGCAAGTGAATGTGCTTGACTTCAAAGCCTGAAAAACTTTGCTATACTGTAGGAATTGAAATGGAGAAAAGATCCCTCTTCACCCGGTACATCAACAATTAAGAAGTCTAAAGTTGCTTTTTAAGAATAGTACAATAAACATAAACTTATAGTTTATTAAAATCATAAACCAAGTCAGCAGTCAGTGTTGTTATTACGAATATCAAACAAAATCACCAGAGATATACCACTGACTCCAGTGAGATTTGTAAATGTTTCCAAAACTCACCACAAAACCAAGCACACACACATTTCATCAAGAAGTTTAGAGATCAGATGTAGAGGAGGAAGAAATAAGAAAACTGGCATTTCATTTAGTATAATGTGCTTTGCACGTAAAATCTCAGAGTGACAAAGCGTGAGCAATTTAAAGAAAGCATATTGTCATACTACGGAACTGAAAACTAGAGTAAAGATAACTAAAAGAAGAGTAAAGAATATTATGCAGTTATTAAATATGATGCTTTTAAACAACATCTGATGGCAATGAGAAAATCCTCACAGTGAAAGGGAAACAACTCTAACAATTCTAATCTGATATTAAATGTTGTATAAATAGACTAGAAGGAAGCAAACCAAACTTTTAAGAAGAGTTGTCTCTAGCTAATTTGAGATAGCCAGATGATTTTCATTTTCTTCGGTATAATTTTCCCTATTTTCCACAATGAAATGTAACTTCCATAATGAGGAAAATAACCCTTGTTATAAATAAAAATTGAAGCATTTCCATCAGATTACCTTGTGAAGCAATGGTATCTGGGTTACAATAAAAATATCTATTGGAGAAGTGTATTAAAACTCTCTCTCGTTCTTGAGTTTCTCCCACAAGAGAAAATGCTTTAAAGAAATACCTAAAAAGGAATTAAGAGGAAAAAAGTGAAATTTTAGAAAAAGTCATTGTTTTCCTTATGTTTGATAGTTAAAGTTAATTCATACAAATATAAGAAATTAATTATACAAAATAAGATATTCTACAGTGATTTAAAAAAAATCACTTACTAAAAGACCATTCAGTATAAATTCATGCTGACATTTAAATTCTATAAAATGTCAACATAAAAGATGACATGGCAATAATATGGTGGCCAACACATCAAGAAAAGCTTTGGGGAGGCAAGTAATTTCCCCACATGACTAAGTGTCGAGTAGCCAATTTTAGATCAGTCAGATAAAAACGAAAGAGCACTTAAGACAAAATGCATAACCACATAGGCTGGTTTTTTTCAACTGTTGCCAATCTTCCCCCCTCCCCAGGCTTCTTCTCCCCCAATTCCTCCAATACATAGTTGTATATTTTTAGTTGTGGGTCCTTCTAGTTGTGGCATGTGGGATGCCACCTCAATGTGGCCTGATGAGCAGCGCCATATCCGAGCCCAGAATCTGAACCAGTGAAACCCTGGGCCGCCAAAGGCGGAGTGCACGAACTTAACCACTCGGCCACGGGGCCAGCCCCTAGACTGGGTTTTAAAACTCTACATGGATAACAATCTTTTCCTCATTTTGTTACATGATTATAATCACCACTGACCCACTGTTAAAATCACAATTATATTGTCTTGTGCACAGTAAATTTCTGTTAATTTTATTTTGCCTATCGTCACATTATTAATTTGTTACACAAGGAGGAAATTAGGAGATAAAACCCTAATTTATTCCTTGAATTAGGAATAAATTAATCTATGTATAAAACTTCTTTGAACAATAGAAAATATGCCCAGAACCACACACCAATCTAAATCAGAGTCACTAAGAGTATTGTCTATTACAGATAAATCCAGATGACCCTCACTTGACAAAGTAGATGCATTTCCCTAAACGTGAGACAGGAAGCAAAAAATCATTTAAAATGTTCTAAGAAATCTTACTATTGAAAAAAACATATAATAAATCTTATTACTATGATGAAAATGTTGCTCTCTGCCTTATTTATAGTTAATCTATATTTATTGATCAAACTTTAATTTTTCATAACTTTTTTTTATGAACCACATCAAAGAAAGCAAAGCAGAAACACAGATCTTTTCTCCACTCTTACCTGTTTTCATGGAAAACCTATGAGTACCCTTGATTCATGCAAAGAGGCACAGAATAAGTCACTGTTGTGCATTCTAATGCAAATGTCCTCACTTCACCTCCCAGGACTCAGTTTCCTGATTTGTAAAACTAGAGGGTTACACAAGATGATCTCAGAATTCCTCCATGTCTGACACTTTGTAGAGACTATAAGGTTACATGCTCACTGTGTTTCACCCACAGCTGCTCTTAGAGTTTTATAGTCTAATATGGGATGAGAAGTGAGGGCCAGTGTGCTTAAGACACCTTCATTTGAACACATCAACAAAAAGTGCTACTGCCTGAAACAGTTTTACTGTTTACTATCAGATACTTTCTACTGATATTTATATTGATATTCATTTTTAATCCCATTCATGAGTTAATTCCAAAGTATCGTCTTAAAAGGTTATTTGGCTATTGTAAACAAATGCTTAGGAAAAAAAATCTATAATTCTACAGTCTATAGACTCTGCCTTTTTCTTTATTCATCATTCGAAAACTACCTTCCCACAGACTATTTTTTCTCAAGACTTACTTTGCCATCACTCTTTACTGTCATCTACTAGATGCAGTCATGTGTGGTTTCATAAAAATGACGTATTTTCTCTTTTTTTTTTTTTTGCTTTTTCTCCCCAAATCCCCCCAGTACGTAGTTGTATATTTCAGTTGTGGGTCCTTTTAGTTGTGGCAATATTTTCTCACTTTTAATTACATTTAACATCTATAGCATAATCTGAGCTAATTCACAAAGTAATTGTGGGTTTAAAAAAATAAAATCAGATTTTAGCTCCAGCACATTACTTTCTTTTCTCAGAGTTAATTATTTGGAGGCAAAGAAGAACAGAAGTGATGCTTAATCATACCTGAGAGACTGATCCAGCGTCATTCCTGTAAAATCAAAAAACTTCAGATATTCTTCAGCAACTAGTTTGCTAAATTCATTGCTATAAGAAAACATAATAGACTTGATTATTAAAACTGAAGCTATTAAAACACACATACAAAAGGATACACTCAGACACTGGCCTCAGGACGGAACGTACTTCTTGCCTAGGTGCTTTGCAACATCCGATCTTTTGAATCTGTCTAGTTGATAAAGGCGTTTGGCCAACCTTTTGGCTGCTTCCATGTTGCTGCTGGTACCATTACTGAGACTTTCCGGGGTCTCCTTTTCCAGAATTTCAGTGCTCCCCATTTCAGAATGAGCCTCTAGCAATGTTGTTTTCACCCCAGCGTTGCTGTGAGAATTGATAAAGAAGGAGAAAAAAGAAAAGATTTTTCTTGTGCAGCAAAAAGGGAAATAGCTAATGAAACTATCATGATATTGTAGAGCCAACTAAATGAACACTATTTTAAATAAGATTGTCTTACAGTTATTCATAAAAATATTTTCTGTTACTGTACTTCAACGTACTAAAGAAGTATTGCTTAAATCCTCAATGAGCAGGTCTCAAACCTTTTGGTCTCAGGACCTTTACATTTTGAAAAGCATGAAGGATTCCAAAGACCTCTGTTTATGTGAGTTATATCTATATCTGCCTATCTTATATCTACTATACCTATATGATACTCACCACATTAGTAATTAAAACAGAAAATCTTCAAATATTAACTCATTTAAATATAATAAATCTATTTCACGAATACATTTTTATTAAAAATAACTATAATTTCCAAAACAGTAACAAAATTCAATGAAATAAGCAACAGATTTACTTTTTTTTTTAAACAAATTTCTTTAATAGTTGGCTTACCAGAAGACAGTTGGATTATTATAGCCACTTCTACATTCAAGCTTTAACAATATACTGTTTTGGTTGCAATACATTGAGAAAATCTAGCCTCATACAGATATTTAGTTAGAAGAATGACGAGTATTTTAATATCCTTTTCAGATAACTGTAGATATTCTTTTTTGATATGACACCCAAATAAGACAAGTGGCAGTTTCTTAAAGGTTAGTTGCAACACAAAATCTAAAATTGTATCAAGGAAATTTTGTGCTTTTACATTAAAATCTATCTTACACTTTGAATGAACTTTTACCCAGGCATGATTCTGCAACATGCATTGGGTCATCTGCAAAATATTTACTGACACATGTCATTTTATAATATTAAAAAAATCACATTCATTAATGTCACTACCAAAATCTTCAGAAAAGTCTTAGGTACTGAGGAGCTGTCAAACTTTTGGTGGCAGATATGATTTCCAAAATTCCAAGTTTTAATTGAAAGCTCAAATTTTATCATTGGCAACAAACATTGTGAGATGTCCTTAAAATAATAGGCTCACTCTATTAATTTTCGAGAAAATGTTTGCCAATAACCATAGTTAGTCATACTTTGAAGCAAAAAGGGCATTCCAAGAAAAACAAAACTAGTTTATAGCTCACAACTCAAATTACACATGAGTGCTTTTCCTGGCAGCAACCCGCAGGAGCAGGAGTCTGCATGAACATCTTCCATTCCATCACACGTGAAATTAGAAGACGTGTTCTCAAGAGTGGAAACGTGATTAATCTGTACTGCTTTATCAAGGACAGGTGAAACTGCTTTATTCAGGTGAAATTGGCCTCTGTTTTTATTTTGAGTCCAGGGCAATGAAGAATATACCTATAACTAGAACAGTGTGGTACCACTACCTTGATATGCGCTAAGACCCCCACAATTGCTTTCGTACCATCAGTGCAAATATCGACATGGTGAAAAAGGAAAATAATGCTGTACAGTTATTATAAAATAACTTTGACCTCACGACCCTACAGAAAAGGTCCTGGGAAGCCCCAGAGACCACACTGAGAACCTCTGCTCCAGAAAGGGGTCACAAGCTCTAGCCTGTGGCTGACTGTGGAATGCTATATCATGCATTTATAACACAAAACCAACAAGAACACAGTAATTTCCAAATCTTCATTTTAACTTGGTAACAAAACAAAGCTAGTTCGTGATAAACTACTGTGCTTAAGCAGCCTTCCAACACACCACAGATTCTAATCCAGACATAGTCAGAATTTTTCTGTAATGGATCAGATAGTAAATATTTCAGACTTGCAGGCCACAATAAGATCCTTTCACACAAGATTATTTTTGTTGTTTCGTCACAATCTTTAAAAATATAAAAGCCATTCAGGGCTAGGCTGAATGGAGCACACAGGCCCTGCTCTATCCCCTAGTTCTTTAACCTGGCCTGAATAAGTAAAGTAACTATTTATTGTCTAAATCAGAACACTTTGGAGAGGGAACAGAAACCATAAAATCATTAAACATGTAATTATAACTGTTACAAAGCGTAAAAAGAGCATTACCCAAGAAAAATTAGTTGTAAACTTACATCATGTAATAAATGACAAAAATCACAGTAGCAAAAACAAATATACTTTCAAGAAGAACTGTTCAATCTCTATTTTGTCATTTATTCTACCCAACCTAGAACTTCCTGTTTCCTACTGCTCCTCCAACTCAGTGGCAGCCTGGCAGCGTCACCACCCCGCAAATGTAGCTCAGGCCACAACCTGCTGGCGCCCATGCGGTCCTCAGGGCTGCAGGGTCCCAGGCTTCCCCAGCCACTGTCAGCCTGCAGGGAGTTAACTGTCCCCAGCAACCCCTCTCTAAGCTGATCTTGTCAGCAAGTCCTTCACATGCTGTCCTTGCAAAGGGGAGGGAAAAGAGATAGAGGTGATCACACGCTGTCTTTTAGACTCAACTATGTGAAAATGCTGTTCAATGCACATGTCAGCTCACACATTCAGATGAGACTGTGGAGAAGCTGGAAGCAGAAAGTGGATGTTTATCAATCCCATGCTGACTTATTTTACCAAAAAATGACGATGCTTCACTTTTTAAAGTCAAAGTCACAGGCTAAACCATAGTCAATGCCAGGACAACAGACATAAAATGGAACTAACCGCAGCAAATCAGGATGTTTGGCAACCCTCCTTCAACAAACAGCCACCTAAACAATTTCCTAACAGAAATAACCACTAGTTGAAATTAACTGCTTCATATGATGACATCTTCATGCAAATATATTTAAATATTTTTTCATCCTAAATATTCCTTTATAGAATTCACACTACCAGCCAATTTTGTGAAATTTATCCTATCAGAAAACAATATTTAATTATTATGTACAGCAATCTATAATAAGTAACCTCAATAGAAGAAATTTCTTTTAAGGGCAACTCACAGTTACTTTGTATTTTTCCACATAAGTGGTGGAAATGTAAAATACTGACTCCAAGAGCCATTTTAGTTACAATCAAGTATTTTTTATAACTAAAAAACATCCCTGGAGTTGTGTTCCCACGCATTCTTTTACTCTACATATTAGTTATCATGTAGGAAAAACAAATGTCAAAGAAAGAATTTTCTTCTCAATTCAACTGCTACTTACTGTTCACTTTTCGGGGCAAATTCATGGCATATATTTAATCATTCCTGGTAAATAATGTAATTATATCACATATATAGTATGGCAAAGATTTTGTTCAAATACAAGAGACTTATCCTATTGAACATATATTCTTAAAAATGTAGCAGTCAAAATAATTCCTGTTTATCATGTTTCTCATTTCTCATGTTTGTCTCCTCTTTTTATCTTGCCTAGCCCAGTCTATTTCACCTCATTTTCTTTACATTCACCAGGAGGAGGTAATTTTAAAATCTGTACACATCAGACTTCTCTGGATCTTCTTGAAAAAACTTTCAGTAAAAAAAGAAAATAAGGACTAAAATGAGGATAAATACCTAGATTCCTAGATGGCTTCATACTGTCTCACTTCTCAATTCATGAGATTACATGAACAAAAACAGAGACTGCTCCTTTTAAGTCAGAAAACCTGGAAACATAATGCCACCACAAACTCACCAGCAACCAGAGAGACAGCAAGAAGAACTCATCACGGAGCCCAGGGTGCGCCTGAGCCGTGCATCCCCTCAGAGCCCCTCCCCAGTGCTCCCTGCCCCACAACTCCAGTGCTGGCTGCTCTACCCGGCCTTCCAAGGACCTGGCTCCCTGTGAGGTCACGTTACTATGACCTCACATTCTCAGCAGTGTTTATTGTTGGGGTTTTTGTAATGTTTTTACAGCCCCAATAAAAACAGGAGCCAGAACACAGGAGCCCCTGTACACCAAGAGCATAAACAACAACGGCAGCCCAGCGTCGTTCACACTTGATAAAGCAAACTGGATGATCCCCCTCAGTGGGGACAACACCCCATTTTGTTTCCTGGAATACACAAGTTATTGTCCATCTATTCTGTTGAGTATTAGATGCTTTCAGTGGTTTGAAGTTTCCCTTCTTTTCTCTAGTTCCCCTTTTATTTCCTTGATCAAGTAACTTTACAATCTCACAAGGTGAACTCCCTACCAGTCACTTAAATAGAAAAGACTTCACAGGAGGTTCTCCCTGTGTTCTGTAAACGTGGTACGTTATCCTCCAAACAAATGTGGTAACGCTCTCATCAAAGAAGGATCAGACCATTGAGTCTCATCACCAGGCCTTTCCGAACCTTTTTATCCTACTAGGATTACCAGATTTTCCAAATAAAAATAGGACACACCCAGCATAATTTGAATTTCTGATAAACAAAAAATAATGTTGAGTATAAGCATGTTCCAAATATTGCACAGGGCATACTTAGGCAAAAAAAATTGCTCACTGCTTATCTGAAATTCAAATTTAACTGCACATCCTATATTTTATCTGGTAACCACATCTCCTGAAACGTTTGCTCTAAGCTCTATTTAAAGAATCCCAATTACGGTATTCCCTGTCCATTGGTAGCATGTTGCGCAATCAGCTTCCTTCTGGGTTTGTTTTGACTTGCTTCTGTGATTTAATTTTCATTCCTACTATTTTCTGTTCTTTTATCAAGACCTTCTCTCAGTTGCCCATGACCTACTGATTTTTCTCTAATGTCCTCTAAATACGAAAAAAAAAACCCTCTTTCTCTATATTTTCACCCTTCTTTTCCAGCCTGCACACTGCCACCACAGAAGTGATAATACACCTCCTTTACAAAAATCCTACACAAGATAAAGTCCATATTCTGTGTCATGTCATATAAGGCCCTTCACAAGCTGACCCCAACTGCTCGTTTCAATCTATCATCTACCATTTTCCTCCTGATCCACCTATAGAGAAATATTACCTGTGCTCACACATCCCTTTCAGTGTTGTTTCCTTTCTCACTCTTATTATCCCCACCCCAATATTCTTGGGTGCCCAAAATTC